CCCAATTGTTTTACCTGCTGTAATAACTGCACCGGTACGTTTATTCAATTCTATATAAATATATGCATACGTATCTCAAATGATAATCGATCTCAGCAAATTATATCTGACGAGCAGAATCATGATCAAATTCAAGTTCAATTGCAAGATCATTCACAAGATAAAATTCAATCTAAATCGTTATCAGGAGAATCACACTCACAACAGAATTCTCAATCATACTCACCATCCTCACATAATCAATCAAAAGATAAAGAATGACCTCAATCATCATTAGAGAATATAACTCACAAGATAAAGAATCAACCAATCACTTTCTACATTCTCAAAAACAGAAAGCGTAAAAGATTCTGTAACTGTATATATAAATTCTAATTTGCTTTTTTTCAATTATAACAATAATTTATTTTTTTTATATAAAACACTATTTATTAATATTATTTGAGATTTTGCGCTTTCAGTGTATAGGTTAATTATTTCTTAGTGTAACAATAATCATCATTAGTACAATTCGTTTTTTTTTATAATAGACGCAGATGGACATTAGTATAATTAGTTACTATTTTAATTTAACAATCAAAGGAAATTATTCGTAATAATAGTAATAACGAAAATGGATGATGAAATTGAACACGTTGCGCCGGAAGGAGCGTATAAAGAAAAATCCATCAAGGGTAATTATTTTAAAAATAAAAAAAAATATATATATTTTTTTTTCTTCTCTTTTTTTTTATGATGTTAATGTTATCGTATCTTTCAATAGAATTCACGAGAAATTGATCGACAATATTTTATTTCTGGTACATTTGAAATTTCTTTTATTTGCCAATTTGACTTTTGGATTAGTAGAAAATATGTATGAATATTTAATAAATTCAAAAACCTTAATGTGAATTATATTTCTGTATTTTTTTTAATGTGGTGTATTATTCGATATCCTTTAACATTATGCGTAACTTTCATTGCATGTTGCATTACAAATTTGGAAATGATCTTATAAATCGAAACCGGAATTATAAATTCTGAAACACCTCTAAAAAATTTTTGTGACACGTACAAAAAATCATTGTTTAATTTATTAATATTATTTGTTCTGGTTCATCTAATTGTCTAATTACAAGTTGATAATCTCTTCATTTATATTTAAATCAATTATCAATTTGAGAAAATATGTAAATTGTATATAATAACGAGCGTTATAAACATAAAGTATCCGGAATAAAATAGTGGCCGCAGCGCTTATTTCTTCCATATGTGAAGAGAAAAAAAAAAATTGTAAAAATGACCATATACTGTATAATATATTTATCTGTATCTGTAATTGTATTTACACTGCGGCCGTTGTTTGATGCATTTGAAAAAATATTATAGATATAATTATATAAATCAATAAAAAGCGATTGTTTTTTTCGGATAAAATGAATAGATTTTTCATTATACGCTAACTTGTGTTGGATCATATTGATTGATCGAACTTTTTGTGGCGTTTGGAATGGTAGTTAGACCTATTTGAACTTGAACGGTATTAGCAGAATTATCAGAGATAACCTCCGTCACTTCCTTTTTTGTCCACCAGCCCTCGTTACAGATGTATCTATAGGCGTTAAGCATTCCGCCCAATGGTAAAGAGATGAAACATATTACATATCCCCACATTTGTCTAACAAACGAAAGAAATTGTTAGTAGAAGGACAAAAATCAATTTTTATTTTATATATATATATATTTTTTTTAACTTACGTATGTTGATGATTATCGGCAATGACGTATACCATGACTGGTGTCCATTGTATAATATAAATGAATAAATAACCAACCTAAAGTATTTAAAAAGATTAATCAAAGGAAAAGAAGAGATCAAATTAATCGAAAAAAAAAGGGTGAAATAAATTACTATTTTTTTGTATGCGTGTAAAAATACTTCGGAATCGGTGGTTCTTCTTGCCACATTAATCTTATATGTTATACCAATATAACAGATTAAAGAAGTTGACAGAACAACAATAGCGATATACAGTAAAGACAAAGGAATGAACGATGAAGTTCGATTTGTATAACACCAATACCCGTCAGATCCAAAATGCCGCCAAGCCTTTGAAAAAAAAACATTTTTTTTTTTTCATCAATCTACGAGATACGTATGCATATATTTATATAGAATTGAATAAACGTACCGGTGCAGTTATTACAGCAGGTAAAACAATTGGG